AACGAGCCACGAAAATGTCTTCCGCTAATTGTTCCAAAGGATTAATCGAGGGTTTGCTTGGCAATTCTTCGATTTCCCAAAACTTACGCAACGTTTGATCTAAAGACTCTTGTTCATCAAATGAGACTGATAAATTATAATTTTTTAAATTGTCCTTATCATTGCTATAAAGTTTACCACTTACAACAAACCCGAAAGCGGTATCGATCACGCTTGGTATATCCGATGAAATAATATAAGGTTTATCCTTAATTAGTTCCGAAACTATATCATTGCCCAATAGTATATCGATACGCGAACGCTTATAAAATAATGGATCAGCTAAATTAAAATTCTTATATTTATTAATAACGTCCGAGTGGAATCGAACGTTAGGCATATCAGCAGATACCTTAGTCACTACGACCATGTTCAGTGTAAAACTAGGTAGGTCAGTGTGTAGGGACCTTAATGTGCATGTAATCATGCCGTGATTTTTTACAGCCTCTCCACCGAGACCATAAATATTAAACGAACACTTCTTTCGAGGTAAGCCCAAACGTTGAGCACACTCAGTTGTAATAAATGAGCTCTGAGCTCCAGAGTCAATAACTGCACGGCAGTATTGAAGCTGGCCGCTACTATCAATTACTAACACGCGCGCCGTTCCCAATACAACACCGTAACCCGAGTGAGCGTTATTGGAATGAAGCGTATCTATCGTATAACGCTCTGAGTCACTCATAGCCTGAGACGAGACGAGTGCTTGTTGCACTTGCGAGTCAGAGCACAATGGACGGGTGGATGTTGGCACGAGCGTGTCGCTCACTGGCTCCCTATGCAATAGATAATGATGTAGTGACGCACATACACCACAAGACATCTCACTTTTACAAGTTGAGGTATCATGATTTCCTTTTAGGCAATTATGACACAATTTTAAGGTATTGACACGGTCAATCCTTTTATCTACGGTCAATTTACGAAATTGATCGCACCTATAAATCATGTGATTTTGATTGCAATGCGCGCAAATTATTTTTTTATTTTTATTATAATTTGACACATTAGTATTTAAAACTGTCTTTGAATAACTTTTGTAGTGGTTATTATTGTTGCCTTTGTAATTGTTACATATAGACTTATTTCTTGATTGTAACGACATCGTACTATTCGATGAATGTTCGAGTACTTTAACTTGTTTATTTACAAAACTAATTAATTCCGAAAAAGATGGAAGTGAATTTTGATCCCGATTTTCTTCAAAAAGCCTCCTAGTATGCGCATCCAACCCACGTAAGGCTAAATGACAAAATAAATAGTCATGTAAATTTTTAATTTTTAATGCCTCGATGGCTTTAAAAGAGTGATCGAATGTTTCGATAAATAAAGTAAGATTTGCGGTAGTGTCTTTATTTAACGGCGTAAAGTTTATCATTTTGTCGATGTACCTACCCACGAGTATTCGATCATCTTGATATTTATTACATAAACTTTGCCATACGACAGTATAATTAGCGGCTGTTATGGGCAATTTTTTAACAATGTTTAATGCCGAACCTTTAACACATGAAAGCAAATAGTGAAACTTATCTATTTCATCGAAATCTCGATTGTGGACAAGTGATACAAATGTATCGTAGAATGTGGTCCACTTCTCAATATCACCATCGAATTCAAATAAACGTAATTTAGGTAATGACGGCCTTACATCACTCCTATCTTTCCTACTGAGGGATGCCTGCTCGTCCGGTTTTAATCTTAAATATTGCAACCTACATGCCTTATAAAGTTCATCAAATGTATCTAATTCTCGCGTTGACAATCTTGTCTCCGGTTTTAATGATATATCTATTTCAATAATATTTAACACTGTTTCTTCAAACTTTGAGCGGACACTTTCTAATTCGGAATAATCGGCTAAGAAATTCTGAATTTGTGTGGGATCATTTATTTGGGATCTCGCGATATCGAAAACCTTTTGTAATTTAGCAAATAGGTATTCCTTTTTAAAAATAAGTGTTTGCCTTTTTATTTGTAATTTATCCGACATTATGAACAAATTACAAAATTAATACTTTATAAACGCACCGCGAGCAATGGACATCCAGGTAAAAAAGAGGCAAATTAAATAAGGGATATTAAATTAATTAAATGCGTAGTTTTACTCAAATATATGACGTCCACGGGACGCGAATTAAGGGTAGAAAATTATTATTCGAAGATCACTAATTCGAATATATGCGGCTCGAAGGCCAGAAATGTGGCGGATTGGGATTATTTTACTAGATATAGTGGACTGTATTGAGATTCTAAATCCCCTGAAACGTTCAGTTACCGCAGTCACAAAATCACACCAAAAACAGCAACAAACTACTCACGGTCTTACTAGCCAGCCTCCCAAGATCAGCAAACGTTGACAGCTCCTGGTAGCTTCTTCTACACGGTAGAATACACTAGCAATTAGATTGTACACGGTACACTCTGGAGTAGTCCCTTTTTTAAGTTTTTGGAGAGATGTTCACATCACGAACACAAAGAGAATGTGTATGGCTTGTCTCGCCTCCTACCCTCCTCTTCTCTTTTTTTTAACTCCACAGATTATTACAACGCATATTACGTCGCAATGTTGCCACTAGGTGTGACCGGCGCTCCGATCGTAGCAGATCATTGTGCCTCGGTATAAATTTTGTGAGTTGCGGTTTATTACTGAACAGTATGGTTGGGAGTTTCTTATTGGGGCTTAACAGAGGTACATTTTTGTGAGAAAGGTGTAAAAACGAATGCAGTTGTGTATCAAAATACAGTCCTGACGAACCTTGTGGAACCTGTTTCTCATACCATATTCAATAACAGGCACTGGCTATTCCAACAAGATTCGGCGCCAGCTCATAGAGCGAAGAGCATACAAGACTGGTTGGCGGCGCGTGAAATCGACTTCATCCGGCAAGAAGACTGGCCCTCCTCCAGTCCAGATTTGAATCCGTTAGATTACAAGATATGGCAACACTTGGAGAAAAAGGCGTGCTCAAAACCTCAACCCAATTTGGAGTCACTCAAGACATCCTTGATTAAGGCAGCCGCCGATATTGACATGGACCTCGTTCGTGCTGCGATAGACGATTGGCCGCGCAGATTGAAGGCCTGTATTCAAAATCACGCAGGTCATTTTGAATAAACTTTAGTGTCACAAGAATCTATGTTTTGTTAAGTTCATTTTGGTATATAAATGGTTACATAATGAATAAACTCGTTTCAATTATTTTATATTAAACATGTGACAGAATTTATGACCTGACTAGGTATTGTAGCGAGCGGCGCGCCGGCCAAATGCTCAAGGTCTTTCGCATGGAGTAGCCCCTTAAGGGTGACAATGTATCTGCATTTAGATTCTTTATCGCAAATATTTACCATCAGGTGAACTGTGTGCTTGTTTGTCACCCTTATCCTATATAAAAAAGTCACCATCCGGCATCAGATGAGCCGCATGTTTGTCCCCTCTTCTATAAAAATGTTGAGCAAATTCTAAATTCGAAAACCCAGACGTTTACATTCAAACAAGGCGCATTGTTATTGACTTCAAAAGCACTTACGCCCACGAGATATTAAAATTTATGGAATACCCAATGTATTCTATATAAAAACTAGTGTACCATGGAAATGCGCGCAATCACTTTGTATATTTGCATGATGTTTATATTTCATAACTGAGCAAGGCTGAAGTGGTTTTGCCTGTTATTACACGACGAAGACTGAATATATATATATACATATATTGATTGTTTACAAATTTTCTCAGTGCCCGACGCTTTATTATTGTCTTTAAAGGGACTATTATCTTCATCATGAAATATAGCCCACCATAATATCAATGCTGAACATAGGTTTCTCCTATTCTCCCGATAGATACAAATAATCCATTACCTATCCCATTCATTACATCCATTCCATAATCCACTGTTCAATATAAGCCTCACCCATGCAACCAAACATGCTACCTCTTGAGAAATTTTCATCCCCATCGTTTGTCGGTTTTAATAGTATAAAATAATATTTATTTATTCATAGATGACACTAGCAGTCTACACATTATTGCATTTTCATAGTCATCATTATAACAGCTCTTCACAAGTCCACCGCTGAACATAGGCCTTCCCCAAAGAATGCCACAAAGCACGGTCCTGAGCCACCTGCATCCATCGACTTCCTGCATGTCTTACCAGGTTGTCACTCCATCTAGTGGGGGGTCGCCCTACACTTCGCCTACCGGTACGAGGCTGCCAGCCGAGAACTTTTTTCCCCATCGGTTGTCGGTTCTTCGAGTTATATGGTCGGTCCATTGTCACTTCGGCTTACTAATCCGTTGGGCTATGTCGGTTACTCTGGTTCTACTGTGCATATCCTCATTTTTAAGTTTATTACGCAGAGAAACCCCGAGCATAGCCCTTTCCATAGCTCGCTGAGCGACTTTGAGCTTCCTCATACGGCCAGCAGTGAAGGACCACGTCTCAGTTCCATAAATCATTTTTATAGTAATTAAGCTTAATCTAGGGACTGATGTATGCATCCTTATAGATGGGTGTCACATTATTACAATTATAATAATAGTAATAACGTCCTCCAGACCAATTTCGGTCACGGCGGCCAATCTCAACGGAGACAGGGTATAGTGCCCGAGTGTATGCGCGAACACAGTTACACTATCTATTCCCTCACTCTTATAGACCGATGGGACGGTAATCCGACACGACCGAAGAGAGACCAGGCGCAGGACCGACGGCTTTACGTGCCGAGGCACGGGGATGAAATACCGCCAACTTCCTGTCTCCGGGCTGCTACTGAGAATTACTTGACCAAAAACCCAATAACAGATTTCGGCCCGACCCGGGATACCAACCCGGGAACCTTATGTTCAGCAATCGCGTTTCAGACCACTTGACCAACGGGACAGTCACAACAGTTATAATATTGAAACAAGGTAAAATTTTTACATCATTGCCAATCTAATCTATTTTCCGCAGGAACCTGGTGTCGGCTAGCCAGGACGGCAAGCTGATCGTATGGGACAGCCACACCACCAACAAGGTGCACGCGATCCCTCTACGTTCATCTTGGGTGATGACCTGCGCGTACGCACCCTCCGGCTCGTACGTTGCTTGTGGTGGACTGGACAACATCTGCTCCATCTATAGGTGAGTGATCAGGATAAAGAAGATAGTCTTGCGAGGTACGAATACACCAACTTGTTTGAAAGCTGTCTCTCGCATGTGGTGACAAACTAACGAAACTGACGAACGATAAATGGTGGTATGTTCTTCATCATCGTCTTATATATAAAAATGAATTGTTGTCCGTTAGTGTCGCTAAAACTCAAACTAGATGGTTTAGATTCACATTTTGACTCGGTAGGTGGCGCTGTTCGAGATCCAGAAATCACCCGCGCAAAACTGGGGCGGATCGCTAGTCAGTCTATAAAAATCACTGTACTGTGGCCTCTCTTGCGTTGCTCCAATGCATCTTGACTGACTTCTCAAGCCCTTCAAGTATTTCTAATTTTTAGTCATACGACGAAGAGACAACCGGTAATAACTAGCAGGCTTAGCCAAATAAAAATGACTATCAATGACATATCTCAATGATAATCACTATTTATTAGCACTATTGTAGTTCTCTATTAGCGTTAACGATTGTAGAAAGTAAACTTGGCAAAGCCTGCAGAAATACTTAATGTTTTCCAATATAGGGCGGTAAAACTGTTTTGCTTGCGTGTGGCTCGAAATAACCAAACCGGCAACAGGCACCAGCGTCAAATACTTGTATCGCTCCGTCAATTTGCTAGGCGAGAATAACAGATCCCTAATATGTAAGAACTTTTGTTTAGCTGTAAATATTACTTGATTTTTTTTTGTGTGTGCCCTACAGCCTGAAGACCCGCGAGGGTAACGTGCGCGTGTCCCGCGAGCTGCCGGGCCACTCGGGCTACCTGTCGTGCTGCCGCTTCCTCGACGACAACCAGATCCTCACCAGCTCCGGGGACATGACCTGGTCAGTGTTCTAACTGTAACAAGGTTTACGACTATCACTCAGTTATAAAGCATATTTATCGTAAAGACAATTAAGGATGTTAAAAATGCTAAATATAAATTAGCTAAAATCCACGTAATAAAATAAAATGATGTGTCTTACCTAGTTTGGAGAGCACCTTCCGCCCTCTGCTAACGAGAATGGTCAAAAATGTCAAATGTTGCAAACAATGCAACGAATGTGCAAAATGTCGGGAATTAAAAATAAGTAAAATTAAACGCGACAAAATTCGCAAATACAGTTTTATTGTATAAATTGTTATGTTTGTGTGCAGCGCTTTATGGGACATCGAGACGGGCCAGCAGTGCGGGCAGTTCACGGGGCACACGGGCGACGTGATGTCGCTGTCGCTGGCGCCCGACCAGCGCACCTTCGTGTCGGGCGCCTGCGACGCGTCCGCCAAGCTGTGGGACATCCGCGACTGCCAGTGCAAGCAGACCTTCCCCGGACATGAGAGCGACATCAACGCGGTCACGGTACGCTACACATACACCCGTATTTGCGCAGCCTAACGGTCATGTGCTCTCTGTACTCTTACAGTGCAAGCAGACCTTCCCCGGACACGAGAGCAACATCAACGCGGTCACGGTATGCCACACATACACCAGTATGTGCGTAGCCTAACGGTCACGTGCTCTCTGTACTCTCACAGTGCAAGCAGACCTTCTCCGGACACGAGAGCAACATCAACGCGATCACGGTACGCCACACATACACCAGTATGTGCGTAGCCTAACGGTCACGTGCTCTCTGTACTCTTACAGTGCAAGCAGACCTTCCCCGGACACGAGAGCAACATCAACGCGGTCACGGTATGCCACACATACACCAGTATGTGCGTAGCCTAACGGTCACGTGCTCTCTGTACTCTTACAGTGCAAGCAGACCTTCCCCGGACACGAGAGCAACATCAACGCGGTCACGGTATGCCACACATACACCAGTATGTGCGTAGCCTAACGGTCACGTGCTCTCTGTACTCTCACAGTGCAAGCAGACCTTCTCCGGACACGAGAGCAACATCAACGCGATCACGGTACGCCACACATACACCAGTATGTGCGTAGCCTAACGGTCACGTGCTCTCTGTACTCTCACAGTGCAAGCAGACCTTCCCCGGACACGAGAGCGACTTCAACGCGGTCACGGTACGCCACACCTACACCAGTGTGTTCGCGGCCTAACAGTCACCTGAGCTCAGTACTCTCGGTGTGGCGCAGCCTAACAGTCACGTTCGCTCTGTACTCTCACAGTGCAAGCAGACCTTCTCCGGCCCCCTACAGTAACATCAACGCGGTCACGGTATGCCACACCTACACTAGTATGTGCGCAACATAACAGTCATGTGCGCTCAGTACTCTCAGTGTGGCGCAGCCTAACCGTCACGTGCTCTCTGTACTCTCACAGTGGAAGCAGACCTCCGGACACGAGAGCGACATCAACGCGGTCACGGTACGTGACACCTACAGCAGTGTGTTCGCGGCCTAACAGTCACCTGAGCTCAGTACTGTCAGTGTGTGCGCAGCCTAACGGTCACCTGCGCTCAGTACTGTCAGTGTGGCGCAGCCTAACGGTCACGTTCGCTCTGTACTCTCACAGTGCAAACAGACCTTCCCCGGCCACCACAGCGACATCAAATCAACGCGGTCACGGTACGCGACACTTGCAGCAGTGTGTGCGCAGCCTAACGGTTACATGCGCTTTGTAATTCCTCTCACAGTATGATAGACAGACATTGCATTGGCAACGAGCTCACTGTACGCGATAATGTTCTTTACACCAAGTTTTGTTTGAATTTTTTTTTTTAATTTTATTTTTGGTATTATTTAATTGATCGTTTTGTTTATTCATATAAAAGGGGGCAAAACGAGCATGCGGCTCATCTGATGGTAAGTGATTACCGCCGCCCATGAACAACTGCAAAACCAGGAAGAAATGCAGGTATATTGCCAGGCTTTTAAGTAAGAGTGGGCTCTGTTCTTGGAGATAGTCGATTCCACAAGGAAATTGTGCGAGGAAAAACACTCCAGAACTTTTTAATAAATCCACAGAAATGTAAAGTGGTGGTTTTGAGAAATATATAGCTTGTGTTTATGTTTATATAGATATTTTAATTTTCATGTGAGAATACCTTTTAGTAGATATAATTATTTAAAACTTTATTTATTTAATTATTTCTTTAGGTTTTATCATATTGCCTAGTCGATATGACTAGGCAATGGGCATTTTTCAAACTGTCTGCACTTTTTTTTATATAGAATAAGGGTGACAAACGAACACACAGACCACCTGATGGTAAGTGGATACTATGGCCCATAAACATCTAAATCTATCCTCATTTACCAGTCAAAATGCAGAAGCGTTGTCACCCGTGAGGACTAAGATGGAATGCCTCGTTTCCAGTAAAAAAGGGTCTCCGGTTCTCTACACTCATCATACGAAAGCAGCGTTATGCTGCTATTTTACGCTGGTATTCTGTGAGAGCGTGGTACTTCCCCGGTCGAGCCAACCCATTCGTGCTACAACTATACTACTAATATAGCTGCAGCATGGCTCTACCACGTAATAATTTAATTATGAATAATAATGGTCCATTAGTGACCTGGAGTTTGGTAACAAGATGTAGATGGTTGAGTGATGAGTGATGAGTGATGGTGTGGTCGCATCTGGCGGTTGCAGTTCTTCCCGTCGGGGTTCGCGTTCGCGACGGGGTCGGACGACGCCACGTGCCGCATGTTCGACATCCGCGCCGACCAGGAGCTGGCCATGTACTCGCACGACAACATCATCTGCGGCATCACCTCCGTCGCCTTCTCCAAGTCGGGCCGCCTGCTGCTGGCCGGCTACGACGACTTCAACTGCAACGTCTGGGACTCCATGAAGAGCGAGCGCGCCGGTCAGTTCACTCTCACTCTTTCAAACAAACCTAAACATATTTATTGCTACAAATTGCACAATATCAATTGTACACACAACACACACACAAAAACTCACGCCTATCACCCAGAAGGGTAGGCAGAGACTACGGACTTCCATTTGGCGCGATCCTGACACACCTCTCTTACCTCCTTTACATCCATATATCTACGCATACACGCTCGTTGGTTAAGGGTACTCCTAATCTGGTCCATTTTCATTCAATATATCACTAATTTAGTCGATAAACCTTCGTCTAGAGCGTCCTTTCCCGACTCTGCCGTTCACTTCTGCAACATAAATTTGCTTTGTCAATCTTTCCTCGTTCATTCTTTCTACACCTAACCACCGAAGCATTCCTTTCTTAATCCTGGTCACAACGTCATCTTGCAAACCACACTTTTCTCTTATCACCCTATCGTTCAGATTCAGCTCTTTACATACAATAAATATGATTTTACATACAAATAAATGATAAAAATGATTGCAACAACAAAAGGTCAAGTCCACCGTCTCAGCATAATACTACAGTAACAGAGTTACCATAGATAAACGAACTTGCAGTCCATCTGATGGTAAGTGGCTACTGTGCAACCAAAGAACTAAAATGGTAGACATGGGTAACTGGGCGGAATTCTTTACGTTAACTCAGTATAGTTATTCTATTTCGAGATGAAGGTTTCGCCTTGATTGTAGTAGTGACGTGTACCTATAGGCGCTTTCGTGTGTGTGTGTGTGTGTGTGTGTGTGTGTGTGTGTGTGTGTGTGTGTGTGTGTGTGTGTGTGTGTGTGTGTGTGTGTGTGTGTGTGTGTGTGTGTGTGTGTGTGTGTGTGTGTGTGTGTGTGTGTGTGTGTGTGTGTGTGTGTGTGTGTGTGTGTGTGTGTGTGTGTGTGTGTGTGTGTGTGTTTTCGTTCGACTCGCGATCGTGACTGAGCGCTCCCGAAACTTACGCACACTAACACAATGTGTATGTGCACGCTAACAACAACCAAAGTCAAACCTTCATCGTGAAATAGAATAACTATAATTCAGGCGCAGTTTACTGCGCCAGCTCATTGTGTTAACTCGAAAATTCTATCATAATTTAAATTCATCTAAGTTTAAACACATCTGTCAACTTGAGCTTCTGTGACCTGTCAAAATGAAACAAAATGTAGAAAGGAAAGATTACCTACATTTATGGTACTATGTATCCTTTTACATTTCACGGAGTTATATAAAAATAATATAAAATAACATCTTAACACCTTTCATATTTCCCGGTCCTGCGCTGTGCACCAACACATTTTGTAAAAGTGAGTTAACTTATCGGCGCAGTGAACTCAGTTAGCGTTTTAAAAGTGTTTTAAATGAATCCTAGAGTGATAATGAACCACTATAATTTTTATATATATTTTTTTTAAAACCGAATAGTGCTGTAAAAGTTACTTTTAATTTATCGTTTTAAATTTTCGCGTGAAAACGCTAGCCGCCATGCTGTTCAACTCGTGACGTCACTGCCCTAGAATTATGCCGATTTTGCAAAAGAATAAGATACTTTTGGATGTTTAATAATGAGTTATCATCTATATCATTGTTGTCTTATGCCTGAATGCAAAAATACGAGCATAAGAACCCCGGGGGTGTTATGGATTCAAGTCCCAACTGATTTAAATATGAGAAATACTTGGTTAAAACTGGCAAGAAGAGACCTGAAGGCATTATTTACAAAATCTAAACTATACTTCTATAAAGATCACTTCGTGTTCTGGGCATATTGTACACTTAACTATGCATATGTTTTTTACCCTCTTGAGATGCACATAGCCTATTCAGCGTAGTAAGATTCCCTTCCGGACCTAAAAACAAGAATTAGGTTATGTGAGATTGTAATCATAGATAAATATAACTATGTATTATCAAAATACACACTAACCTGTTATTGTATCAATAAAAGTTGGTAATAGGTACTTACATTGATGTTATAACATTCTTCAACTCGGCAGAACATAAATCTGGATTGCATACAAAAAAATTTGCCATCATCAATATATATATCCTTGGTAGATCAGTACTTTTTGCTTTTACGAATCCGTCTTCCATGATGCCTTTTCAATAAAATTCGGAATAAAAGTAAACAATCGTAATGATAACTTGAAAAATTTCGAAATAACACACAACAATGTGTTGTTGTGCTAGTTCTCTTAACCAGTGACGTCACGACGGTATCTAATATGGCGTACAGCGTTTTGTAGATTTGAGGCAGAAATAAAAAAAAAGTTCTTAACATTGAAATACAAAATTTATAATGCATTTTTATAAATAGAAATCAATATTTCTCCTTTACTTTTTACAAAATCTATCATAAATATATTTTTGATTTTTTTTACATGTCTATAAATGGACTGGCCCTCTTTACCCTTCAGAACAATGCAGTGCAAGCACTGTTGATTTGTGACGGACTTCTGAACCTTACCACCTTGTACATTCATTAACAAACTATTCACGCATAATATGAATAAAGCAGTAAAACTAATATTGTGATTAAATAGATCGAAACAGAAGTTTCTACCGCAATGTTTTACGTGGTAGAGCCATGATGCGGTTACGAGTGTATTATCATGATAGGAAGACGATACTGTCACAGAATACCAGCGTAAAATGACTGCTGTGTTTCGTGTGATGAGTGTAGAGAACGGGAGATTCTTTTTACTAGAAACGAGGCATTCCATCTTAGTTCTCAGGGGGTGACAAGGCTTCTGCATATTGATTCTTAATAGAAGATACACGTCTATAGACGTCTATGGACTAATTGTTGAATCTTAATCGTCAGGAGAAACACATCGTTTCTAGTTTGTAAGTTGATTGCATATTTAATATTTTATAAAAAAATTGAAATGCCTTTTGCAAAACATTGTTTTTTCTTTCATCACAGGTATACTGGCGGGTCACGACAATCGCGTGTCGTGCCTGGGCGTCACCGAGAACGGCATGGCCGTGGCCACCGGGTCGTGGGACTCATTCCTTCGCATCTGGAACTAAACCCCCTCCCCCCACATGCCCCATACACACCGCCGCACCCCTCACCCTCTCTGATCCGCACGTCTACAACCCTCTTGACGTCCGCAACAACAAAATGGCCGCCGAGCCGCCGCCGTAATGGTGTCACGCTACCAATTTTTATAATCAGCTGTGTAATCACGCGCGTTGTTGCATAATCGAACTGTTTTTGATGCGGTGTGTTAATGGGTCGCGTAAACGCTTTATCCTATGTGAATATTTTTGTTCCGTCATCACTTATATATTTTTGCAATCTAAGGCGATGTTTCGGTGTGATTGCTCGGAAATGCGAGATATTTGTGGGCTATTACGACCGAAAACAATGTATGTGTTAATCTTAGCTCGTTAGCTTTGTTGCATAACTGATCCGAATCAGCCGACCGGTTTCTATTGAATACGGAACAAAATGAACCCTGTTTTGTTCGAAATAGAGTCGAAAATCGGACGTCGACAGGGAAACAATGAATTACATTATTTATTTATATATAGTTGATAATCTAATAAAATGGAAGCATTTAAACTACTACTGAGGGAGGGATGTAGTTTATATAATATGTGTGAGTGGCGATATGTGTGTGTATGTACACTATGGTTCAGAATACACATTTATATATATGTAATGATATAAAAATACATGTTTAAAGTTAATTATTATTAGTTTAGCACTGGGAGCCTATCTGTGGGAGGCAAGCTGCCTATTTATGTTTCTGTGACTTGGTGAGTATTTGTTTTATCTTCAAATTTATATAAAGTAAGATCAGCGGGACGAGACAAAAAATGTAAACGAACTTCCAGAGCTTTATAACATTTTTATTACATACAAATATACCTGGTAGTAATTGTCTGTTTCTATACGATACGAAACATTGAAAACTATTATGAAATATTCTCAGTAATGACGTCAACCAGCAAAACAAAACAAAAAAAAAGAAACCAACAAAACATGCGTGAGTGTCGTGGAACACTCGGCTGGAACGAAGTTCCTTTCGTAGTATATTATTAGTGATAAACGTATTATATTATTACAATACAATACAATACAATACTCTTTATTGTTGTACACCAAGAAAAGATAACAACATCAAAAATAAAAAATAACAACTATTGAGGGAAATACAAAGGGCGTTCTTATTGCTACATAGCAATTTCTTCCAGACAACCCAGAAGAAGAAATAAATACAAAATAAGAAAGAGAACAATGGGTAGGGTGCACTAAAATAAAAAATAAAAAAAATAAAAAAATGAAGGCAAATAAAAATAAAATAAAGATACAAACTTATGCATTAAAAAGACAACATTCTTGAGGCAGATCAAATGACCATAATTAAGCGGAGGAAGTGAGAGGGGTTAGAGAGATAAATAGTATTCTTTAATCTGTTTCTGGAACACATTTAAGGATTGAGCACTTCTAATTAACTGGGGTAAGGAGTTCCAAAGTCTTACTCCAAGAACAGAGAATGATTTGTCATAATAAGTCGAGGAGTGCACAGGACATTGGAGGGAGAGATTGTCTTTGGATCGTAAGGAAAAATTATGACAGGAGCTGAGAAATCTAAAACGTTCTTTTAGATAGGAAGGACTAGGTATATTAAATAAGACGCAGTAGAGAGCAGAAAGTATATGAGTATTCCGACGAAGACGGATTGGGAGCCACTTGAGCTTAGTGCGGTATTCTGAGACATGGTCATAATTGCGAAGTCCAAATATGAACCGAATACAGAGATTTTGGAGGCGCTCAAGCTTGTTAAGTTGCTCCTCGGTGACATCACGGTAACAAATATCAGCATAGTCGAGGATAGGGAGTAGTAACGATTGTGCAAGCGTAATTTTGGTGGCAATGGGTAAAAAGTAATTAAACCTCCGGAGTGAAGCATAAGCTGCAAACATTTTACGGCTCACTGCATTAATTTACTATTATTGATTAACAAATACAAATAAATGAATTACTAGCGTCTATTAAAATGAAGCGTCATTTAAAATAATATTTCTTTCATGACAAGATAAAAAGTGCGAGGGAGATGGATATTATTCCATCCATATCGTGGCGGTAAATTCTTACACATATTTCTCGCCTAACCCCATCCGCCAAGTCCCTATCGTACGATAAGGAACTTCGTTCCAATACGGCATTCTATAAAAACAAAGGGGTTAATTATAATAATAATAACAATAACATCGTAGATACGTCCTAAGGGATACAAAAGGGATGGCAAAAACGAAACGTTTTTAAATATTTTTTTATTTCATTATCAAAAAAATCATAATATTAAAACATAGGCGAATCTGTAGAGATTAATACTGAATAAAAAGGACTGAATAGGCTATATTATTAACTAAAAAGTATTTGAATATCTACACGACTGAATAGGCTGTATGGTCATTGATCATTGCCTATTCCGAAGGAGACTTGGTAACTTCGAGTTTCAACTTGTCTTGTGTTTTTGGATAGATTTCGTGCTTTCGTGGATTTAACTTGACCCTTGGCTTATCTTTTGGATCACAGGACAATAGGTTGTTGCGCCCATATAACGAACAAACAATATATAGCTACCAGTTGCTTTTCTAGATGACATTTTACTTTATTTAACAATAAATATAAAACAGCATTATTTTATGTTCTCTTCAATTTATTCAAACAATTTTATCACAAGAACGATTGATTTTTTTTTATTTGATTTTACTGCATAACCCACAAATCATAAAACAAAATAAAAACAAAACCCCAGGTCCTGCAAAAATATGATTTTATGACATAATTAGCAAATGTTTAAATCTTTAAACTAAGACATATTTTAAGTTTGTTCACGCCAGGCCGCAAGCTTATATGGAGTCAAGTTCATCTCCTTTACTTTTATTATCTGTTTATCCGCCCTAAAAATTCCACCCTGAGATGTATAATATCTTATTGCACTAATAATAAAGAATATATTTAACGTATTTTACACAAAAGATTTTACACGAACGCACATCGCGGCAAAACTCCCGATACCATCCACACCATCTGGATGCTTGGCGGTCCACCACTGTAAGTTTCACTAGAAGTTTTCTTCTGAGTTCAACCTCTCTGTGGAATAATTTACCACCGGCGATTTTTCCAGACCGATACGACTTAGGGACCGTCAAGAAAAGAGCTTACTCCTATTTAAAAGGCCAGCAACGCGTCTGCAATTCCCTTGGTGTTGCAGTTGTTAATGGGCGGCGGTAGTCACTTATCGTCAGGTGAGCCTTATGCTCGTTTGCCCCATCTCCTATAAAAAAAAGGTAACTGTGATAGCGTGATTAAATCACTCAAGACAATGGGAAAAGCTTGTTGTAACATTCTTTATCTCGTCTCGCTTGCCCTACTTAAGTTTGAATCTGACCTAAAATATTTCAGATAGAGAACTAATTTATAACTATTCTTATTTTTTTTTATATATAACATGATTAACACGATAATTTTTCCCCTTTCCAGATGAACATCGCACAACATAACTACTTCTAAAACTTACTAAAATTAAAGAACCAAATATTAAGATTAATGTATCTATGTGTAATTTATTGAATGTGGATTTGTTTGTTTATTTGTCGTATGCGTTTGTAACATCTAACGGCTAATTTATGATTTTACTATGTGACTACAATAGTCTCTAGGTTTGAGTCGAAACCAACACACACTGTTATACAACTTTGTGTTGTTTTTCTAATTAATTAAAACGTTATTATTCAAATAATTATACAATGTAAGCAAAATGTTACGTACATTATTTTTTATTTTATTTTAATTGATATTAAACAAAATTGTAATATTTCAATGATATGATGAGCTTGGCTGGGGACTTGGAAAGTTGAAAATACATTGTAAAAATAATGCATATAATATGCACATAACAATATGGTAATTATTTTCAATTAAAGTCGAGATAATCCATTATATATTAATTTCCTATGAACTACACTGCAATTTTTAAAATGTTTTATTAGTATAATATTATATGAAATATATTTCCGTTGGTTTCGATTCGATGCCATATTAATTGTAAACAGAATGAGATTGTCATTGAAATGGTCTCCGAGATCATTCCGAGAAACTGTATTTTATTTGTTATTTCATAAAATAGACGAACTGAGAAATCACAATTATGTAATTTATAATGCTAACGATATTAGCGCAAGCGATCTGTACGTATATACCATGTTATAGTAACCACAAATGTTTGATGCATATGATAATAGTAAGTGTGATGTGTCTCTGCGTGCCGCCAAAACTTCGCAAGCGAATTTCTCAGCCCCATGGGGGTTATGGTGTGGTAACCCACCATCCACCATCCATGAGGAAAGTATTGTTTTGGAACTGCATGAACTGTTATCTAAAAAAAACGTATTTATTCGCGTCTACTTTAATTTACAGCGACATCTATGAATTTGCTGTAGAACTTTTAATTGTTTAGGTAAATATTGCTATTCGTTAGTAGATGTCGCCACAGTTCCAAAGACAAATACCAACACGTCATTACAAAATGGATGGTGTGTGAGTTTTACGGTGCCAAGAAATTTCTTTTACATACTGTTTAAATACATCTGTATTGTATTATCTGTTATATATTACGAATATTATTAATTAGTTTAGCTACATTATTTCTATGTTTAAATGTAATTTTATAGATCACATTCAATAGGAGCTATGTGGTATCGTCCGAGCGTAGGGAGGGTTTTGCTAGTTATTTTATATTGATTAAATCTGTTTTAATACAAATCTCTAACTTAACTGGGGACAACTTTGTTATTATATATACGCCACAAAATTCAGTTTTGTATCAAAATTTTATTGCCGGTACGTTGTACGTACAGATTGTTTGTGCTTACAAGCACAAAAATATGCGAAGCACAAGTTGAAACATTTCAAGAGATTAGCTTTAAGTTGAACAATGATTTATACTTTGACACATGCAATATATTGATTTATTATCTCTTCTTCTATCATTGTAACTCCTATGGCGTTTTAATTTAATTAATTTTGTATGTCTGATATACTAATAAAACCGTAAAGTTTTGTTAGCACATTCATTTTGATTTATCAAAGGCTTAAAATATCTTTTAAACTCTAAGGCGGTGTAAAAATTTGTCGATCGAGTCTCACAATTTTAACGCACATTTAGACATGTGTCAATCGTGAACGATTCGTTCATTAAACCCGGGTCACATCAAAGTACTGATGATTGTAATTACATTTTGTAGTCGATACTGTGCGACGACTGACATTACCGAGCGGGTCACAGATCACTGAGTACTGAAACTAGAAATTACCTGTTGGATTAATGAACTGAATAACTCGGTTCGGAAGACGAATCAATATTTGATTGATCGGGTTACTAGAAATGAATGAACAACACATGTTTAACGCACATTAAACCAATGTCATGATCTAATAAACAAGGGACATAGTCTGACGTGCTGTCAACAAAATATACACAATCTTAAATCTTAGTGGTTGCAAATGTTGCGAGATGGCAAAGTGTTCGTTATTAGGTTATATGGTTATTTAAAGTGGCAAGAAGACGCGAAGCTTAACGTTGAAAATATTGGGACACGTTACTCTTTTGTATGTGTTCTTTGGAAAAGGTAGTAGATTGATTATAGCACGTTTTGAACAGATAATATAAATTTACTGTTTTTCTACTGAATAATCATTAATTATGGATATTAAGAACAAATTAGCGACTTGTTTTTGATAATAAAACTTGTCACTATCGACATTAATTACATTAGATGTCGTAGAATGTTTATACCTATACCATAACGAGAACCTCTTGCATGGAAAATTCATTTGTCACAGAAAAATAGTACTTATTGTCTGTGTAACACGGCTTTTTTATCCTAAATCTTTTTACCTAAAGAGAGTATCACAAGTGATTAATTATTTGTACGAAGATATTGACATGTACCGAGTTCATTTTACTAGGTTAAGCTAGTTATAGTTGTTTCATGGGCGTAGCTGGTGGTTAACCCTGGAAAGAACACTGAATTGTCGATGATAATGAAATAAAAAACTGCACAAATATGTGGTTCAACTCTAAAGAATCTGCTACTCCCATGAAAGTGTTAAAAAAAGAGAGGCATTGATTAATTTTCAGCGTGTGACAAAATAATTGATTCAAATTTTCGTTGTGGTAACATTTTCATTTCGGTGAGAATGAAATAACATATTTTAATTCGTTTCAGTATTTGTTCGAATTTTAGGCGCGGACCTTCGAGTATGGTCCGGCTTTTTAATTTAATGTTAGTCGATGGATGGATGACGCACTATTGTTTACAATTTATGTTTTAACTTAAGCCTTTTTATCTTAGATAGGCCATATATGTAGATGTTTAAATATAAGGCAGATGCGCAGACTTAATCAACTGCACACCGAACACGCTGGAATGTTTTAATACTATTCTTATTACATTGTGACTACCATTATAATATACTTTAATTTTATATGTAGGTTCATCACTCGCGCTCAATTGTCTATGGTCTGTTACGTGTATCCATTAAAGGCGATAATTCGAAGCGTTATTACATATACATGCATAACCTTTACAATATTAGTTGATTAATTCGCATATGGGTAATAATATCATTTTTGTTATTCTCATTTGACTCGTGAATGTATCGTATGGCATATCAATCAATTTGCTCCCACTTTTTATTACTGTTTACACCCGATAATAGCATTTTGTAATTTTTTTTAAATATAATCGTTAGAGCAAATTGATACATACACATACACGCAAGCGTCTAATCTATATATACTATGAATATTCTTTTATCTGTCTAATGGGGAAAAAGTGGTATTTTTTCAATATTATGTATGACAAGTATAGCCTTATCGATTAGAAAAGGAGCTATAAAACATTTTTGGCGCCAATAAACTCTTTAAAATCATGGATTATTTATCTATTCCCTTTAAAACAATTTTTGTTGTTGCCACGACTCTGCTTTATAATTAATGACAGGAGTTTTGGCGCGCATTCCCATTGGACAGATTAAAAAGTTAAATTCGAAGTGAAGCTATGGTGTGCTAGTTCTACGCATAGAAAATAAGACTTTTTTAAAGGATAACAATTTTTTTCTACTATAACGGCTTCTTTTCCTATCGATGTACGATAACTCTAGAATTATATTACAATGTATGTATATGTATGATATTTATTGGAAAGTTTGACGGCTCCTTATTTTGTTTCTATTCAGACCAATTTTTCTCACTTTTACATCGTCTTATTGGAATGGACTGCCATATTTTAACTTTAAAACTGTAATTTATATACTTAATGAGAGCTATTTACATCCGGACTCAATGATTTTTAGTGAATTTGTGCGGAATGCGACTTTAAATCGGTTGGCCATCTGATAGTAAAAAAAACTAAAATGCGCGGTATGTCAAAATGAAATTGGAAGATACGGATGCTTAGAAAATCTTTCTCACTAAAATCTTACACCTATTTGAAAAAAAAAAATGGAATGATGATTATGTTAATTTTTATTTGCTAGTCCATGTCTTTGATATGTTAAAATAATTATTCTTAGTCGTGTAACACTAATTATAATGTATTGTGTAATATATTTTTTTAGTTATTATTATCAATAAATTAAATTTTGTTTAATTTATCTGTACGTTTCTTTTCTCGTCCTGCTTAAGGTGTGAATGTTGTAAGTAATTACACATACGTTTATTAAATACATTTTACAATACAATAAAAATATACGTGTTGTTTTTTTTTAAACTTTCCTTTTAAAAGCTGCAATTTAATAATAATCAGCAATCAATTTTCATTGTAGGATTAATCTATTACTTATAATATAAGAATGTGTGACCATTCGAGGAAAATCTTTCTTACAACGGGGGAGGGCCAACTCCGGTAGAGGTTTTTACGGGATGTTAAATGAAAGATCTAATTTTATGGATAGAAGTAAGGACTTTTGGTGTTTTATGCTCAGTTATCTCTTACACAAAAATGGCTCAGAACAGAAGACAAATCAACAGAAACGGAACCATGGAGTCATTATTCAGTTCTTTTTATGTGGGTCTCAGGCGGACTTTATTTATTTCATCGCCCATCCATTACAGCCTATAAAAGGCACTGTTGAACATTGGCCCCTATTGAAATAGTTCGCCTTATTGGAGATTTTGCTATAATTACACGCTTCACAGTTCCTTTGGCAACCACTTTTTTTTAATTAGATTTTATTAGCTTATGCTGTTGCCCATCTCCTGTTTTAGTTTCCCCTGTCGCCTTTTAACGACACCCACGGGACTACTGAGACTATAATATGGGTTAGTGAATATTAATACCGCATTGTGTAACTAACAAAGGGCTGACTTAGGCCGGCCACATACGTACAGAATTCCGAACGGGTCGGCCACACACATACGGAATCCCGTTTTGCCCGCAAAATTTCGAACGGAAAACTACCGTACGTGTGTGGCGGGTCATAGATTTTATATGGACTTGTTGCGTTCGGGATTCCGAAACGGAATTCCGTATGTATGTGGCGGGCCTTAATGCCTTATGGCATTCTCTATAAACCAACCATGACTGACCTCAAACTTCATTGTAATATAAAATACCACGAAATAAATGAAGGCATCCACGACTTTTTCTGTCACCAGGGCAGCGCCACTTAAAAGTGAGGTATAATATTCGACATTTCATAGCGGTTAAGTTAATATGTTCGCAATATATAAAGGTTAATTTGTACTATAAGTTATATTTTATATTAATAAGTTTAAAAATAAATAACCAAACCACAAATATTCATAAAAGTAGAAATCTAAAAAAATTAAAGAGCAAACCACAGGTATTGTTTTGTGGTTTAATATAATACTCAAGAAACTGATAAACCTTTTATTATCCGGTTCAGTGTGGATGGCACGCCTGGCGTGCCATCGATTACTTTTGTGTGTGGCGTATGACACGCGAGTCGTGTCTTTTTTAAAATCGTTATAACTCGCTCAAATTGCGTTTTTGGAAGATTTATCCTGAACAAAATATTTTTATTTTACAAGTAGTTCATGCCTACGGCTTCGTTTCTGGATATTTTGAAAATTTGAAATTTTTAGGGGTTGGCAACTTTTTTTACTTGTACATGGTACTCTTTTTACTTTGTGGGTTTTAAATAATGTTGTGGAAAAAAGTCTAATAAGTAACAAATAATAGCACTCATTGCGATCGCTCACAAACTCGAGTTGTAAATAAATTTCTGGAAAACAAGTCTCCTTTTAAAAAAAAACAATGCGTTTGTCTTATTGTTCAATTTTGCTTAAAATGGTTGAGTTGCCGTCTTATTACTATCATATGGCCGAATAGACCTACGAAGTACCATGTGCTCTTGGGATATGGTATAAGGTTTATTTTTGTTTGAACTGTTCGTAACCGTTTATACATAAAAGTTCGCTAATAAATAGTCTTTTGTCAATCCGCCGCCGTATAGCGCCGGCGTTTTTTTTTTCCTTTTGAAAACACTTGTTTTGCTATTCTTACTAATTAGACGTTTTCAGATCGACTTTACTTTTACATTTGTATAACATTAAATATGTATTTAAATTGTAACATTTGTAAATCAATGAATCATAAACCTTATTTTTTTCCAAATTAAGGTTCTTGATTGTTTGATATTTACAAATGTTATTATTAGGTGAAAGTTTAATTTAATAAAAACCTAGGTTTTTCCAGGGTGATTTAGCTGTACCTACTTATATAAATGTTTTTTTTTTATAAAACAAAATAGTACAAAAGGTTCGTAATCTCTGCATAAAAAAGTCACACTCTCAATTTCAAAGAAAACACGTAGAAAAACACGTAGTTACCCACTAAAAACAAGTATTCTTCCATTTGTAACTGATGTTTGATGACTACTTAATTAGGTCTAAACAAGTGAAAAAAGCTTAAAAAAGGAAATTATTTTTACACATGGCTCATGGCACAATAGGCGTGTCATCAACTTCTTGACACGGGCGTGTCATGAAATATTTGTTCGCCGCCACAGCTAAAAGTTGCTGAAAATCGGTGCCGCAACGAATCGGTTAAAAACTAACTTCTCAATTAAATGACGTGTAACAAAACACTACCTCAGTGTCAACTAGCGACATCTGGTGAGCAGAAAATTATTAGCCCTCATTAGTAAGTTTGGTACGTCGGCGGGCCGTGTCGCTTTATGTTGTTGGTTAGCTGTTTTGACGTTAGCGTTGTATAAATTAAAATATCGCTAAGTATTAGCGAAACAACAAGTTGGCAGCAAATCGTATATTTAATGATGAATGAGATCGATGACGCGCGAAAGCTGCCGGCCTCCTTAGTGGAAAATGTAAAGCATTGTACATGCTGTATTTTTCTTGACTAGGTACCAAAAAAAAATATTTATAGAATAAGGGTGACAAACGAGCACAGTCCAACTGATGGCAAGAGGATGCTGTGGTCCATAGATATATATACAATAAACATGTTTCCTCAGTTAAAATCAAAATGCAGATGCGTTGTCGCCCCTAAATACTAAGATGGAATGCCTCGTTTCCTGTAAAAAGTGTATCAGGGGGTAAAAAATAAAAGGGATTGTTGACTTAACACCGTCTTTGTGAAATGAGGCCTGTAGTTGCTTCAGCTTTTACTTAAGGACGATAAATTACTAGAAGAAGCATTCACCAAAGAAAGAAACGAAGTATCAAGAACCATTCATAAAACTAAAACTAAATATTATTCAAAAGCTTTCAACGACTGCAAGAGCAACCCTAAAAAGATGTGGAAACTAATAAATAACCTTTATAACAACAAATTAAGAGACCCATCATTCCCGAGTAAACTTTTAACACCCAATGGTTACATAACGGATCAAAATACTATCTGTGAACAATTCAATGACTTTTTTTCTAATGTGGGCCTGATCTTAAATAGTCAAATACCAACAAATTTTCATAATAATTTAACGTATACAATTGGAACAAATACTGCTGACACAATCGCACTAACACAGTTACAACCATGTACAACGGAAGAAATTGCCAAGTTAATAGATAGCTTAAGCACAAATACTAGTTCCGGATTAGTTGGGGTTAATAGCAAATCAATAAAATGCGTGAAACACCTCATCCTTCCTGAACTTACAAATTGCATAAATAATAATCTGGAAAATGGCACTTTCCCCGATAGTCTAAAGATGGCTAAAGTGACACCTATATTTAAATCTGGGACTAAGTCGGAACCTGGCAATTACCGCCCAATATCTGTTCTTCCCGTAATGTCAAAAATTTATGAAAAACTATTATATAAACGTCTTGAAGCCTACCTATCTGCACAGAACTTCTTTTACAAGCAGCAGTATGGCTTCAAACCGAAATCTAACACACTGTCAGCTACAATAGACCTTATAACTAAAGTGAAACTCAACATTGATAAAAAACAAATAGCACTAGGAGTCTTCATAGATTTAAAGAAGGCCTTTGATACAATTAGTCACGACATATTATTAAAGAAACTATCTGACATTGGCATTACGGGAACCGCTAATGAGATACTCAGATCTTACCTCACTAATCGTCGGCAAGTGGTTAAGATCGGTGAAACACAGAGTGGACCCAGGGTTGTGCCTTGTGGTATACCTCAGGGTTCGATTCTGGGGCCCCTCTTGTTTCTTATATATATAAATAATATAAAAGATCTCGGGCTTAAGGGAGACATAACGTTATACGCCGATGATACCACTCTATTCTACTTTGGCCATTCTATAGACTCTGTTATTAAAGACGCACAAAATGACTTAGATCTTCTAAATATCTGGTTTCAATGCAATCGGCTAACTATAAATATATCAAAAACAAACTATATGTTATTTACAGCAAAAAACAAAAAAATATCACATTATACACCATTGAAAATAAATAATCAAATTATAAATAAAGTTGATGAACAGAAATATCTTGGACTGATCTTAGACTCGCATTTAACATGGAAACCACATATTTCTAAAATTAAAACAAAATTAACTTCTCTTTCTGGAGCCCTACGGGGTATAATTACATGTTTACCGCACCGAATTCGATATAATATATATAACTCTCTCATAAAACCGCATTTAGAATACTTGACTGAAATTTGGGGCACTGCTGCAAAAACAAATCTAGAACCACTACAAAGGTCACAAAATAAATTAATTAAAACCTTGTTTAAATATGATTTCCTCACACCAACAAATCTACTATATAAAGAAACAAAATTATTAAATATAACTCAAACATATATATATATAAAACTTGTATATTAATAAGAAAAATATTAAATAAAGACATACATACTCAAATAACATTCACAAAGAAACAACAAATACAAAAAATTAGACTAAGACGTGTAAACGACCTTTGCCTCTCAACCCCAAGAACTAATTATGGTAAAAAAAATTTAATGTACGAAGGTGCAAAATTGTATAACCAATTACCGAAAAATATTAAAGAAGCAAAATCAATGCCAACCTTTAGAAAGCACTTAAAATATTATTTAACATCTAATCTGAGCGCACCTTAGTTTCACTATTTCACACGTCACTTCTAGCTACGCTCGATCTGTGTAAGGTGCGCGTCCAAGCATTGTTTGCTCCTTGTTTATGTTAGTTTTTTTACAAGTACCCTGTTAATCTACATTGTATTTTGTTTATACTTAGAAATTAAAATTATTTAAAATGTATACTTACGATTTGAACGTGTTT